GCTATGGTATCCTATTGCCCACTCATCATTTCTTTTTATATGAAGCATCAATATTTTATAATGATACTGACATATCAAAAAAATTTCCTTTGGCTGTGGTATCCTATTATCCACTTCATCATACTTTATTTTGTTTTGAGAGTGAGTCTCACTCTGTTGCCCTGGCCAGAGTGCAGTGGTGTTGTCATAGTTCACTGCAACCTCAGACTCCTAGACTTGAGCGATCGATCCTCCTGTGTCAGCCTCCCGAGTAACTGGGACTACAGGCATGGGTCACCACACTCAGCTAATTTTTCTATTATTTGTAGAGACAGGGTCTCGCTCTTGCTCAGGCTGGTCTCGAACTCCTGACCTTAAGCAATCCTCCTCCTCGGCCTCCCAAAGTGCTAAAATTATAGGCATGAACCATTGTGCCCACTCTGTTGTTTTTTTTTTTAACTTTAATTCTGCTTAGAAAATACTATAGAACAAAAATCAGTTCTCTTATATAGGTAACTCCTTTGTACAGCTAATCCTAAAGGGTTAATAAGATATGTTGTTTTGATAAGACTGATAAAGTGAGCCTAAGAAATTGCTAAAAGAAATATACTCAAAGTATATGGGTGTAGCTCATATCTTATTATCCATCTGTATCAGTAAGTCCAGGAATCAGGATCAGGAGTTCAGCAAAGTATTCCAAATATTTATACATTAAAGATAATATGTTTTAATTTTTTAAATAAACACAAGTTATACACAATTGGTTTGATGTTTAAAATGGACTAATGCCCTCTGAATTCATACTGCATGAGTGGTTAGTGTACATGAAATAAAAAGTAATAACAACTATTTAATACCTACCACATACCAGGAATTGTTCTAAGCAGTTAAATGCACTAATTTATCATTCCTCATTTCCTACCAACGAAGTAGGGCATACTATTATGTTCTTTTAACAAATGAGGAAGTGAAGCACAGACAGACAAATAACTCAGCCAAAGTCATACAGCCAGGAATTAACCTGGGCAAGTCTCTCTTCAGAATCTGCCGTATGAACCACTTTGCTCTGCTGCTGAGATGAATGTGTTCATGACTCATTTACTCAGCTGAGGACTGTTATAGTTTTAGAATCATTATTATTTCTAGTTTCAGTCATTTACTTAGTATTTATACTCATAATAAATCCTCCAACGAAGACAGGATACATAAAGAGCAGAGATGTTATAATAAAAGTTAAATTGATAATTCTTCAAATTTGCATCAAGATAGCTCCCCCTAGATTCATCATCATATTGAAGGAAATTCAATTGTTAAAAAAAAAATGTAGCGATAAAAATATCCAATTAGGATTTTCACTAATTAAGAATAAATACTAAGGCTACCCCAATCTCTTAATAAATTTTAAATAAATCCTAAAACTATTTATCAACATTTTGATACATAAATCAATTACAAAATGAAAGAATACTAAACATTAGGTAATGAAAGTATTTTTTCTAATTCTATGAAAGAAGAGTCAACCTGAAACTATGTTTTAACACACATCAAAATTAAAAACTAAACATGGACTTCTGGAGTGGCACAGTAAGGAATTCAGAAAACACTGTCCCCAGCAAAACAAGAGACTGGTGAAAATTCTAAAAAACAATCATTTAAAGTCTCTAGACATTGTCCTAGGGCATTCAGCATATGGAAAAAGATTTATTCAAGATAAGAACAGCACAGTCAGTGGCATTTGAACCAAGATCTGCTCCAGAGCAATTGGGTTTCCAGTATTCTTGGCCTGCTGCACCTGGGGTAACATATCCACCCTATGAGTGGGGGCTGGGCGAGGAAGGAAGCCATGATTTTTCTCTGCCTGCCAACCTGGAATAGAACTCCTATGACACAGGGCTGGCAGTAATGAAAAACCCTAGCAGCTGCCCTTACCAGGTGGAAACTATAATCTCAGACTGGAGTTACAGGGAGATAGAGTCGCCATCTTGTCCACACCTGCCAGGAGTAGAGCACCTGGACCAGAGCTTCTATAACGGAGATGTTTGGGTAGGATAATGGAGGAGGTCTTGGTCAAATGCCACAGAATCTTGCTGTTCTAATCAAGATTTAGTAGATTTTCTTTACATTTTCATGTTTCTCCATATGTCAAATGTTTAGGACAATCTCCAGGGACTTTAAATGGTTGTTTTAAAACAATTTTCACCAATTATGGTTGTTTTGCTAGGTAGAGGATGTGTGAGGTTCTCATGTTGCCATTCTGGATGTTGACTTCCCCTAGATAATAACTGTTTAAATGAAAACATGTTTCACAGAAAGGACATTATGATTTGCAACACATTCCAAGTAAGGCTGTGGCAAAGTTCATTTCTTTTATATTGCAGAGAATCTTTCGAATGCTTCAGAAATATAGTCTGGCAGAGACTATATCTCAATATTTTTTTTTTTTTTTTTGAGACAGGATCTTGCTTTTACTAAGGCTGGAGTGCAGTGGCATGATCATAGCTCACTGCAACCTATACTCCTGGGCTCAAGTAATCCTCCTGCCTCAGTCTCCCACGTTGCTAGGACTATAGGCATGCACCATCATGCCCAGATAATTTTTTCTTACTTTTTGTAGAGGCGGGTCTCCCTATGTTGTCCAGGCTGGTCTCGAACTCCTGGCCTGAAGCAATTCTCTTGCATTGGCCTCCCAAAATGCCGGAATTACAGGCGTGAGCCACCATGCCTGGCCTGTACCCCAATTTTTATTCTCCCTGTATTTCTTTAGTAATAGAACTCCCAAGGTTAAGGTGTACACATGGCTGACAAACTAAAGACTACATTGCAAATTTTCTTAATAGCTAGGTGTGGCAAGAGACAAACTCCTATCCAATGCAATGTGATCAGGAGTAAAATATACATACCATTTCATGCCCTTAAAAGACATGACCTTCCTTTCTTTATTTCCACTGGAGAATATAAGAGGAGCTAGAGCAGCCATATTTGATTAAGAGTTGGAAGCAAAGTGTTGGAGACAGCAGGGCAAATTGGAGAAAGAACCTAGTTTCCTATCACCATTGAGCTACTATTCTAGTCCTGGAATGCTTACCTAATCCTTTATAAGAAATAAATATAATTTCATGTTTAAGTCGCTATATTTTTCTGTTACAGCTGCCTAAGTCATATGCTAACTCATATAATTTATAACTAATATAACATCATTTTATGGTTTGACATATTCGATATGATAGATGTCAAAGTAATTGTCAATACTAACAAATTATGAAGTGAAGGATACTGAATTCATGGATATTACAGTTTTCACTATAGACTTTGAAGCTTGGTTTCTAGGTGCATGTAGAAACACCAAATTTTAGAATGTACCTATTTCTTTACCTAACTTTGACTGTTTGTCATTGTTACTGGAGATTATCATCTATATTGATGAACTGTATCTATGAGCTTTTAAGTATCTTCATGGTTCCTATGGTTACTTAGAACTATTTTATGAAACGACAGATATTTCTTTTAAATGTTTGTACCACCCAGAATTCCTGTTCTTTACACATGCAAATCAGTGGTTTCCAGACTTTTCTACACTGTGGCACATATACAAGATAATATTTGTAAAGTATACTGGGTTAAACTGAAAGCTGCTCATGGCCAGAGGCTTTACCAAGGCAGGTCTAGCTGCTCTGACAGGTAAGGGGAGCAATCATCTCCTTGGGGATCCCTAGTTGGGAAAATCTGATATATTTTATAGAACTGTATATCACTAAGGAATCTCAGGAACCAGAGTAGGCTAATTTATAGTAAGTTATTTTAACATGTAAAAGATGTAATTTCCAGATTTAACTTCTGAGAGTGTACCAATAATTTTTCCTCTAAATAACAGAAGTCATTAGTTTCTTCATCTATACTATAGTACCAGAGCTCCTGCTATATAGGATTCATTTGTTAGCCTGGAAAGTATAAATACAGTAGTCCCTCTTATCCATGGAGGATATGTTCCAAGAGCACCAGTGGATACCTGAGACCATAGATAGTACTGAACTATCTGTATACTATGTTTTTTCGATCTGATAACCAAGCTGGCCACTAAGTGAATAAGGTAGCACATACAGCGTGTATATGCTAGACAAAGAACGAGCTTTGATGATCCCAGTGGGACAGAGCAAGCAGTACGAAATTTTACCATGCTACTCAGATTGGCCTGTAATTTAAAATGTATATATTGTTTATCCCTGGAATTTTCTATTTAATATTTTCATACTGTGGTTGACTATGGGTAACTTAAACCAGAGAAAGTGAAACCACAGATAAGGACGCACTATTGCACTCTAAGTTGAAATATGTGATCATTATGTCATATCTATGATCATCTTCCTGTTTTTATAAGCACCCATGCAAAATACTTATAAATTGACTATATCCTCAACAAACACCAATTTCTTTGACAGAAAAAAGGTGATACTATATAAAATAACTTTTTAAATTGAAAGACACCTAATTATCATTAGTGTTTTTAAAATTTATGTTATATAAAACATTAAGGAATGAAATAATTAGAATATTCTTATCAAAATTAATGAAGGTAGTTAATGAAGCTCATACCAGTATGATTGTAGACAACATCAGTAATACAAAGAATATTCCATTCCTTTTTTAATTTTTCCACTAGCTGTCCAACATCAGTCCATGTGTACTTTCTATTAGGTCTTGAAAAGTCAGGATTTAATTCTAACTGATTGGCAAGGGAGTAGCATGATCTAGATAGTCCAAGAGTCTGCAATGGGGTAAAATGAATCATATTGTAACCTGCAAAGCGAGAAGACAAAGACCACTGTAAGACAAAAGCAAACAAAACCAACACAAAACTGAGGAAAATATAAATTTAAACTTTCTTAAGTAATTATAAATAGCATGGCAACCATGCTACTAGAAAAGGAGTCCAAGACTTAGGTTCAATCCTAGCTATACCACAAGAGACTTTTAAGCAAGTGTTTTGAAATCTTTTAGGATATCAGTGTCCTCATACATAGAAATAATGAGATAATCCCTCATAGGGATAATGAGATAATGTATTTGAAAAAAGTTACACACAGTGCCTAGTTGTTATTAAGGGTTCAATTTATAGTTGGTGAATGGATATAATTTACATGCAGAAAATATATCCTATGCAAGTATATCGACACATCTTTCTCCTACTTTTAATGTTGCATGATCCTTGTATTCTGTTTTAGTAACATCAGTGAACTTCTTATTCCTTTCTTCATACAATATTCAACTTGAAAGTAGAAAGTTAATATTACCCTTAAGAGCAAATTACAACTTAAGTTTTATTTTATTGTTGGTATGTATGGCAGCATGTGCCTTCCACATGGAAGATGGTTAATTAATATTCATTGAATTAAAATTATATATAATGGTAATATATTTTCCTACATATTTTAATAGTTTACTTCTAGTTTTTCTATGTCAAAGTAAAGTCTTAGAAATGATAATGATCTCATTTTATCACAGAGTTCCTGCATTTACTAAGGTAAACCATGTAATTTGCCATAAATGGTCAATTATCAAAATTTCATATGGTTCTATTTACATTATTAAGTATATTAAGAAACAAAATTAAAAGTAGAAGCAAAACCTTTGAAATCTGTATCAGAGAGGATAATTACATTTATTTTTAAAAAGAAGAAAAGAAGAAGAAAGAAAGCTGACATTACCTGATTCTTTTGCAACCCTAAGTCTGCTTTCCCATTCATCAAAAGGTCCCAAACACTTAGCTAAAAATGTCTGGAGAGTAACACAGTCCAAGGGTAACACGTGATTATCAGCACCAACGTGTAAAATGGGATCCACAACTATGTAACCTCCACCACTTTTCTCATTTCTAAGGGAAAAAAACAAATCAAAAACTTTTCAATTAACAATAGAAAAAAGAAACCTCATCTAATATAGTCTGATTCTAACTGGAAGGTTAATTGTCCCCTTAAAAAATATATTTGTTTCTAAAACATAAAATCATTTTAAAAGTTACAATAAAACTTAATGGAAAAGCCACTTTTACCCCTTCCCAATCTCTGCATAATTACATAATATAATATACCTAATATCCAATAATGTCATTTTAATGAAAAATAAGTATACTAAAATCTATCAGTGATACCAAGGGCACTCAAATAAATAGCATATTATAATGAGGCTGCATGAAAAGACTAGAGTATTAAGCTGTTACTTAAAATAAATTTACGTAATACTTTGTTTTAAATCTGCAATAGGCCATACAATTACTTCCTAGAGATTGAAGAACAATATTCTACTTGCATTTATTTCAAATAAGCACTGTAAAAATTGTACTGTCATGGTTCATATAATACTTTTTAAAAGTTAGGTAACTTTAGGTTATAGAATAAATTTTTTTCCCACACACAGAACACCTGACTTACCCTTGAAGGAAATAATACTGAAATGAACCAGACTGTTGCAGATTAAGTTTACAGTATTTATCAGAATCATCTTCTCTTTCTGTTGGATTTTCCCAACCCAGGGAACGGAATTTTTCTCGATTAAATGTTTCTCCAGGAAATGGGTAATTTGTGTACACAGTAACTGCTTTTCCCTGTAAAGTTGGGCCCAGTCGGAACTGTAGTTCAAACCCTAAACAAAAAGCACATTTTAATAAACTCATTGTAGGACTTAAATTACATTAAAAAATAGATGTCTTATTTAAAGCATCATAAAAAACTTTATTTTACAATTATGTTTAAAATAACTCCACATACCTAATGCTGTTTTGGAACTACTTTCTATTCCAATTCAGCTGAATTTTATGTAAGTACCATGTGCTAACACATTGCGCCGCTGGAGCTCAATTTTCTATTTTAACAAGTATAGTAAACATCATAGAACTGTCTGTAATGTCCCCTTCTCCTTCCCTTGGAAACTGATTCCTATTCGCATGGCCACTTTGGGATATGCAAATTCTTACATGACCCTACTTACCGTGATTTCTCACTCCTACCCCTAGAGGTGGGCATCTGTGCAGAGACCTTCTCTAGCAATTTTCTAACTGCATCAGAGAAAGCAATTTTCTCTATGGTGTCAGAGTATGTAAAACTGGGAGGTATCATGGGACAACCATCTCACCATACAGAGAAAGCTAGTCTTCAGTGAGAGAATTCTTAGAGAGGCAGAATTCAGACTTCCTTTTTTTTTCCCCCCTCAGGAAGAAACATTTAATGGGGACTTACAAACAGAAGCTGTGTCCTGGGCAGCTGCGAGATGAGATGGGACGGTGGGTCCCCATGCCACTCCGCTCCCCGACCCCCACCCCCAGGGCGATGTACCACATGGAGAACGGGTGGGACAACCGAATTCAGACTTCTAACAGGAGTTCTGGAGGCATCTGACCCCCTGACTGGTGTCTGCTCAAATCCAGTGGTGTGCTAAAAGAGGTGTAACAACTGGCTGGGGTGGTGGGAAGCTCTGATTTATGCTGATCACCTGGTGGAAATAATTCCAACATGGACAATCTTAAAATACCAACATGACATAATCGAAAGTGGAATTGGGAAGAGATGTACACAATCAGCTCTTGTGAACCAGCACAAGTTGCCTCCATCACATTATTGCCTATATCGCTACTCTTCGTGGTTTAGTTATTAAAGCCTTTCCTGGAATCCTGAGAGTCAGTACATTCCCACGGTTGTCCAAGTTAGATTATTCCTATTAAAACATATGAGACTTGTGTACTATGAGACAAGTATTTTACCATAAGAAGAAAAAAATCAATAAGCACATTACAGCTAAAACTATACTGTGAAAGAAAAGGTTTGGTTGGTTTAAGGAAGACTTTGAACTTCCTTTATAATCATTAAAATGTTTGCTTAATACTTTTGTATGAAAAAAATTTAAAAAACAATGTAAAAATTCTGACTATAGTTAAATCTATTAGATATATAGGGCATGTAAATTTTATGCAAGAATGTGACTTTCAATTAATGATGGGTGATAATAACTGATGAAGGCAGGAAAATTTAGTTCTGCTGAGTATAATCTTTAATGCTTAAGGAACTTTTTTGAGAAAAAAGGAACATACTAATATTTATAATGCTTGATTTATTAAACATCCAACAAAGTAATAAAAATTATGCACTGAGCGCCTATCATGTAATAGGCAACATAATAGAAAACAATTCCTGCCCTTGTAGAGCTTGAGTTCTAAAGGGAGAAGGCGGCCATTAAAGAGCAAACACAACAAATAAATAAGAAAAAATAGCATGTCAGGAGGGAGCAAATGCTAGGGGGAAAAAAGAAAAATCAGAGTTGGGTAAGGAAAATGGGGGAGAGGGGAGGTGGTAAAAATTTTAAACAGCATGGTAATTGAGAATCTGAAGGCCTTGAGAGAAGTAAGGTAGTTAGCCACATGGCTATCATGGCCACCTAGGAAAAGCATTGATCAAGTGAAGGGAACAGAGAGGACAAAGGACACATGGTAGAAGCACATCCAGGGTCCAGATGTGGTTCCAGAAATAACAAGCAGCTCAGTACAGCTGGATCGGAATAAGCCGAGGAAAGAGTAGTAGGAGGTGAGGAAATGAAGCTAACAAGGGAACCAGATCATGTGGAACCTTGTAGACCAGCGGTCCCCAACCTTTTTGGCACCAGGGACCAGTTTCAAAAAGATAATTTTTCCATGGAAGATAATTTTTCCATGGACAGGGGTGAGGGGAAGGTGGGGCAGCAGAGCTCTGCAACCCGGTCCCTAACAGGCCACTGACCAGTACCGGGTTCACGACTCAGGGTTTGGGAACCACAGTTGTAGACCATTGTAAGTATTTTGGCTTCTCTGATTGAAATGAGGAGCTAGTGAGCAGTTTAGAGCAAAGGACTGACATAACCTAATTTATGTATTAAAAATATCGCTCTGGGCCAGGCATGGTGGCTCACTTCTATAATCTCAGAGATTTAGGAGGCTGAGGCAGGAGGACAGCATAAGGCTAGGAATCTGAGATCAGCCTAGGCAACATAGCAAGACCTTGCCTCTAAAAAAACAATAATATTAATAATAAGAAGAAAAATTAGCTGGGCGTAGTAGAGGGTGCCTGTAGTCCCAGCTATACGGGAGGCTGAGGCAGGAGGATTGCTTGAGCAACCAAGGCTACAGTGAGCTATGATCATGCCACTACACTCCAGCCTAGGTGACAGACTGAGACCCTGTCTCTTAAAAGAAAAATAAAAAATAAAAAATAAATTATTCTGAAAAGAAAAAAAGTAAAAAAAAAATCACTCTGGAGATATCTGCTTCTGACCATGATAGAGTAACTGGTGCTAAACTTACCCACTGCTGAAAAACTAGGAGAAATATATGAAACAAGTGTTTCAGAAGTAGGTAGTAAAGGACTGTGATCCTTGAGAGAAGGGTGATCCCCAGAACTCTCTAGCGTTCAGAGTGAGGGAATTTTCTGGAATGTGCACAGGGAGCAAGAACAGTGGTCCCACTTAGCTGAGGAGACAGATTAGGATTTGGAGAAATTCAGGAGACAGATTATTTGGGGAAGTTGAGGAGACCTCAATTTTAAGGGCAGAATATGGCAGAGAGGAAAGCTATGCAAAGAACGAACTCAAGAAATTTACTTAGGATCACATTGAGTCTGTCTGAACACTAAGTGTATGTGAGTAGGGTTTGACTCCATGAACCAAGCAAAGAACAACTACTGGAAATTGTAAGCTGAAAAATTCTCAGAATTCACATAGGCCTGGAAGCCATCTGATTTTTGACTAGTCAGAGTGAATCCTACATTGTTGGATTCTTGAAGTATTCAGTAGAGAACCTAGAAGAGTCATGCCTTAAGTAGTAGGACCAAAGTAGGCCTAGAGTTAAAACTACTATAAATGTATCTTATCAAAGCCTCAAAATGATTAAGCTGATGCACAGATAACATAAATGGCTGCTAAAATAAAACTCGCTACTCCTTTAAAGCAAGACAACAAAATTCAGAGATAAAACAACAGAATATTCATGATGTCTAGTGTCCAATAAGAAACTGATAAACAGAAAGAGGAGGTGAGGCAGTGGACCACAGAGATATCTGGGGAAGAACATTCCACATAGAGAAGACAGAAGATGTAAAGGACTTGAGACTTTTACTTCTGGCAAAGATGGAATAAGAAGGACTGGATTTATCCTTCTCCCTAAAACTTAAAAGAATGAAAGAAAAAATAAACAAACAAAATATATGAAATTATGGTTTTCAAGACCATAGACATCAGGCAACAAAGAACAGATCCCTGAGAGACAGCAACAAGGTAATCCCTACATTTGCCCCTGCCTACTACCTTGAGAGGGTTTCCAGGTTGAAGTATAGGGAGGAGGAACCCAGGCAGAGCCCAGACAACTCCCTAAGATGAGAAGATGGAATTAAGAGTCCACAGAGATCAAGGTAGCTAGAGACTATAGATACAGATGAGAGTAGTGAGAACAAGAAAGCTGCATAGAAAGAGAACTCCATAGATCTGCAGAAAGCCTCCCTTGTATATTCAGCAGAGTACCAATGAGTGCGTATCTGTGAGGAAAATAACCGAGACCAGGAACGGTGCTTGTTCTCATCTGCTAGATTAGAAAAACTCATAATTCATGAAGCATTTCATAGAAAATTCAGAAGACTCTTGCTTCAGTAGTGGGGAATAAGAACTAGACAGAGCATAGTTCTAGACTAGCTTAATAAATCATAAAAATAAGACCCAAAACAAACTACCTCCAAGTAGCTTAACTTCATTCCAGAACAAAGACTACAAACATTTATAAGAGTCCAAAAATACCCAGCACCCAACAAGGTAAAATTCACAATGTCTAGCATGTGAACAAAGATTACCAGATATACAAAGAAGCAGGAAAGCACAACGAATAAAAATTGACCCAGGAATAACAGATGTTAGGATTAGCAGATAAAAATCAGTTATCATAACTGTTTTCCATATGTTCGAAAAGTTAGAGACATGAAAGTAATAATAATTTAAAAAGATCCATTCTTCTACAATATTAAAACAAAACAAACCAAAAAATTCCAAAGGTCCAAATCAAACTTCTAGAAATGAAAACCATAATCTTTGAGATGAAAAATATACAAGATGGGAATTAATGGGTGGTGAGATATGGCAGAAAAAAAGATTAGTAAATCTGAAGACATAGCAATAGAAACTATGCAAAATGAAAAAAAAGGAGAAAAAAAAAGAATCTAAAATATTGAAAGAGCATCAGTGACCTGTGATCAATCAGTGAACAATTCATCAGTGAACAATTCAAGTGGCCTGATATATAGGTAATTAGAGTCCACAAAAGAGAGAAGAGAGATAAGAACTTAAAAATTATGTGAAGAAAAATTGAGTGAAAATTTTCCAAATCTGATAGAAATGACAAACCTAAAGATCCAAGAAGTTCAACAAATCCCCAAAACAAGTAACATGAAGAAAATTATATCAAGGAACATAAAAATCAAATTGCTCAAGACCAGTGACAAAGAGAATATCTTACAAGTAGCTGGAGGGGAAAAAAGATACGGTATGTACAGAAGAACAAAGTAAAGATGACAGCAGATTTCTCATGGGAAACAATGCAAGCAAGAAGACAGTGGTAGCAACATCTTTAAAAGTACTGA